AGAATAATAGAGCTGGGTAGTACCTCAGTGGTCATCTAGTCCTGCTTGACGCAAGATCTACTGAAGCATTTCAGATAGATGAGGTGAATATCTGGTCTCTGTTTGAAGACCTCCGGTGATGGGAACATACCACTTCATGAGGCAACCTATTCCACTGGTTGATAGGTCTTACCATTAGGAAATTATTATTATTTATTTCATTTTTTTATTCTTTCATTCTCCCCCCCCCCTTTTTCCCCCAGTTACTCTGCTTAAGCTGCTCCTTTAATGCATATAATATTTACGTATGATCAAGTGTAATGCCTTACAAAACCCAATTAAATATAAAAGGGATGGGTGCAACCTGAACCTCTGAAGCATGCTGTTCCATAAGGTGGGGGCATTACCATTGGGCCCCCACCCCGCTCACTTCATGACTGTAATGTATCTCAAGTATTCTGGAATAAGCATTTGAAATGCTTAGGTCTGTGTTTCTTTCTCAACCTTGGCAACTGGCTGGGGAATTCTGGGAGGTGAAGTCCACACATCTTAAAGTTGCCAAGGCTGAGAGACACTGGCTTAGGTTTTACCTGGAGAAGGTGGTTCTCAAGGTACCTAGACTCCAAGCCATGCATGGCTTTAAAAGTTAAAACCAGCATGTTGATTTGCCCTCAAAAGCCACCTGGAAACAGATGTGCGACCCTGGTGTTGTAGGCTATGGCAACTCTCCCTGGCAGGTGGAATTCTGCATTTTGCACCAATAGCACGGTTATGAAACCCAGCTAATGCTATCTCTACATAAAGGCAAAAGGCAGCTTTGCTTGGAACAGCTGACGTCCTGCAAGATACCTTTCACACCATCAAACCACAACGCAGAATTTCAACAACAGAGAATTTCCATACTAAAAATCCCAGAAAAAGATGAATATGGAAGGTTATTGAACATTTGTAGTTTGGTTCGATCTAGCAAGGTTGGCGCACTCCAGGTTTTGTCAATTAAACCATGCCATCTGTCGAGACCCCAGAAAGGCACCTTCTCTGTAGCAGCACCTGCCCTCTGAAATGAGGTCCCCCCTGAAATTTGAAAGGCTCCCACCCTACTGTTGTTCCAAAGAGCCTTAAAGACCTGCTCTTTGCTCAGGCCTTTGGCAAGGATGATTGACGCCCCTTCCTTCTTTGTTGTCCCCTCCAAGTTTGTTTTCTTTGCCATCCTTGTTCTGTCTTGTCTTGTTTTTTTGGTGTTTTTTCTACTGATTTCTGTTCTTAAATGTTTTTAACAATTGTAACCCACCCGGAGTCGCTGGGAGTCAGGCAGCATATAAATTTAATAAATTGTTATTGGTTGCACGGTCAACCAGATGTTTAGACTGGATTTGGCATTTTTATCCACCTATCGAGTCCTTCCCAAGGACCTGGGATAGTCAGATGTT